CAGTCGTGCCCGCTCGGGAAGTGACCTACTTCCTGGCAGCAGATGGGGCTCGGAGGCGAGGCGTCTGGGGCCTGAGGTGTGGGAGCCGTGGGGTCCTGTGGGTGGGAGCCCGAGGACCTGTGCAGAAAGCAGGGCCAGGGCTCAGGCCGGGCAGGGCTTGCCCTGGGTAGTGCCCACTGCGCAGGGCACAGGGCCTGGCAGGGGCTGGCGCAGGGCTGTGCTGGGCACGGGGGCGGGGGGCGGGGGCTGCTGGCCCTCCCTGGAGGTGGCCTCGCTCTCCCCTCACCTGCTGAGGCTGAGCACAGGCAGGAGACGGTGCTAATGTGACAAGGACGTGGTCCAGGTCCAGACCCCAGCTCCATGACCTCAGGCAGGCCTTGTGCACCCTGGGGTCCCCGTCACTGGGCAGCAATGTCCGCGGGGCCCCACGGAGCTGCGTGCGGCTGTGGMGCTGGGTGGCCCTGGGCAGTGACCCTCGTGTCCTGGCGGCCTGTCCCCCCAGAGGTGCATCGACTGGAACCGCGAGGTGCTGAAGCGGGAGCTGGGCCTGGCCGAGGCGGACATCGTGGACATCCCCCAGCTCTTCTCCCTGCAGGGCACCCGCGCCGAGGCCTTCTTCCCCGACATGGTGAGGGTCCCCTGGCCTGCAGGGCGCTGGGGTGGAGGACAGGCGCCATGGGCAGGGCCCGCGGGCTGCACCCTGAGGTCCCTCCAAGCTGGTTGCGTGTCCCAGGGTCACAGGTGGACGTGGGGGTGCTGTTGGCACCTGTGGGCAGAGGCCAGGACAGCCCCCACCCTGGATCATCTGTTTCCCCAGGGGGTGCTCCGGGGTCTGTCTCCAGCCTCCCTCCACCCTGGACCCCTGCTGGTGGCTCCCCGGTGGGCTCCCGAGCTGGCAGGCGGGGCAGGTGGTGGCCTCTCCTGGCACTCATTCCCTGGGCAGCTGACGAGCAGATAAGCAGGTGTGATCTCACCTGTGTGTCACCAGGCAGGTGCTGAGCGATGCTATCGGGCAGGCCTGGCCAGAGTGCCCATTACCTGGGAGAGGACGTGGGCCCGGGGTGGAGGTAGACCCTCCTCTCACATGGCAGGGTCAGCTCGAGACCCCCTCGTGGGACAAGGGATGGAAGTGAATCCCAGGCCGGGTGCAGATGRGAGGCAGGTGGGGAGGCCCCAGGGGGCTCCTGACCTCACTCTGAGGCCAAGACCTCCGGGGCTGGGTCTCTCCCTCCGACTGGGCTGCTGCAGGCTTTGTGGTGGTGCACCCCGGGCTCAGGGGCAGGTTYAGGGGCATCCTGGCCTCTGCCCACTTGATGCTAGTCAGCACCCCTTGGTCGCGACAACCCCAAATCCCCCTCCTTGAGGCCCAGTGCTTGAAGGCACTGCTGTCTTCTGGAACCTTCTATGCCGATCACAATGCTCTGGGTACATGGTGCCAGACAGTAGCCACTGAGCCATAGGTGACCAGGAGACACGGAAATGTGGCTCCTGGGGACGGAGAACAGAGTATGAATGTGACTTACTGTTCCCTGACRCAGCCCCAGTGGGGAGTAGCTGCGCCTTCTCCTCCGTGAAGCTCTAAGGAACCCTCGGGCTCTGCTTGGTTGAAGCTGGGAGCCCGAGCTGCCCTCTGTCCCCTGCCTGCCTCACCCCACCCCATCACCTCCTGGCCCATCAGAGGTCACTGAGGCAGTTCAGGACCAAGGCCACGGGACTGACCCCATGCACGTGGCCCTACAGGGCAGACCTGGGGGGAGGGGCATGGAGTGTGAGGGCCCAGGGTCCAGGGCAGCCCACCCAACACTCAGGGGCGAGTCCAGGATCCCCTTTGCCATCCGTGCAGGGCTGAGATGTCCCCTGAGCAGCGGCCATGATCTAGCACCAGGGAGGCTTCGCTTCCCCACATCAGGACCCCAGGCCAGGTCTACAGCCAAGGGAAGCAGAGGTGCCACTGCAGATCAACTCGGTGTCCCCGAGGGCTCCCAGCCCCTTCCCCCAATTCCTTAGCTGCACAGGAGACCYCATTCTGGCATGAGTTCTGGTACGAGTTCAAGTTCAAGGTTTAGTCTCCCTGTTCTCTGGCTGTGTGGCCTGGATTGTGTTTCCTAATCTCTCTGAGCCTCAGAGGGAGGCCGTGAGATGTAGCGGCGATACATCGGGCACAGAGAAGATGCTCAGTGAACGTAACAACGCGCGAGGCTGCCAAGGACCGCAGGGCCCGCTGTCGACTGCACAAACACACCCACCATGAGGGCTGAGACCCCGCGGGCGTGTGGCTTTGTGTTTGTTTCTGGCAGATGACAGCAAAATCTCTTGTTCTAACAAGAACAAGGGACACTAATGTGACAGTTTCTTAAAGACGGAGACAGTTTTGAAGGAAGGGGTGACCGATGGCCACGTTTACCGTGTACGCTGCCAACAGCCCTGGGCACTGTGGGCGCTCCCCTCCAACCGCCGTCCGTTTCTTCTGGGCCTCCGCAGAGGTCCTCGGGCAGTCCCCAGCCCTGGCGCCCGGGAATGCCGTCCAGGAGCAGCAGCCCTGGGCGTGGGTGGCAGCAGCCAGAGCTCGAGGCCCACGTGGAGCCTCCACAGCCGCCCAGCCTCGCTCTTGCCCTCTCTCCTGCAGGTGAACATGGTGGTCCTGGGCCAGTACCTGGGCATCCCCAAGCCCTACGGGCCGGTCATCAACGGCCGCTGCTGCCTGGAGGAGGAGGTGCGCGCCCTGCTGGAGCCGCTGGGGCTGCACTGCGTCTTCGTGGACGACTTCCTGTCCTACCACAAGCTGCTCGGCGAGGTCCACTGCGGCACCAACGTGCGCCGGAAGCCCTTCCCCTTCAAGTGGTGGCACGTGGTGCCCTGAGCCCGCCCCGCGGCCCTCTCGGCCTTCCTGGGGGGACGCCACCAGGGTGAGGATAGGGACCAGGCAGCGCTGCGTCCCCTGAGGAGCCTCTGCGCCGCCCCCCAGCCCTGCCAGCGTGCTGGCCACYGCGGCAGGAGCTGCAGGGGCGGACAGCACCCTTCCTGGCCCCGGAGAGACCCACCAGCCCGAGGACCGGCCTCCTCCCCCCCAGCCCCCTGCCACGCCCCCCAGAGGTTCTGGAGAAGGCGGGCAGCCTCAGCATGCTGGAGAAGAGCTGCGATGGCCTCGGCGGGCGGCCACTCGGAGTGCTCCCCTCTACTYGGACGCCTCCCTGGGGCACCAGAGTGGCTTTGTGCCCACATGTCCCAGGCGCTGCCCCCAGGACCCTGGTTGTGAGCCTCCTCTGGCTCATGCAAGACCAGGAAGGGAGGTCCAAAGTGTCCTCTTTCCCAAGGGGACCCAGGCTGAGATCCCCAGCGCCCCGCAGGTGTACGTAGGCAGACAGGGACCGGAAAACCCAGTGGCCAGGGCCTGTGAAACAAACAAACAAACAACAATAATAACAAAAGCCAGCCACAGAAACTCTTTAATGCCCAACTCCGACCTCAGAAGGTGCTCGTTACTGTGCCGAGAGCCTTTAATTAGGAGAGCAGGCTGCTTCCGGCTGCAAAGTGCTGGAAGGCAAAGTGAGGCCTGGGGAGGCCAGTGAAGAAGGCCTGGGCAGGAGGGTTGAGGCCAGAGTGGCAGAAGAGGCTGGGCGGCCATCTCGGGCCCGGGGCCTGGGGCTCCTGGGCTTTGGATTTKGGGCTCTGAATCTGAAGGCAGTTGGGTGTTCCAGATGTGGCAGGGGGTGGGGGACCATGAGGTTATCTCTGAGGGTGCGGCTTAATTTCCTTTAATAGACTTAATTATTCCCCTTCGCTCTGCGGGCAGTGGGAGGGGAAGGCTCGCCCGCTCTCCCTCAGTGACCAGGGACCCTGCATGTGCCTTGGGTTTTGCCAGTGAGTAAGCCCCTGTGGCAGGAGGAAGGACCAAGACACCATATGAGGCTAATAGTCCTGGTGAGGTCACAGGCGTGTGGGGGCAGGCTGGGCGGGCTGGGTGGGAGGGAGCTGGCAGCCTGCCCTCCAGCCCCCACCGGCCGTGAGACCAGGGGCTATGAGCCTGGACTTCTGCCACATGGCTCTTGTGGCCTGGAGCTCCTTGGGAACAAAGGCACCTGGAGCTGCCGTGGCTGGGTGGGTGGGTGGGAACCTGGATCCTCCCCTTCCAGAAGGTTCCGTGGAGCCCCATCTGCAAACTGCCGCTCCTACCGGAGCACGCTCTTCTGTGATGGTGACCAGCTGAGGCTGAGCCAGGAAGGAACGGGCAGCTCTTCAGGGCTGAGGGTGTGAGGCCGGGTCAGGAGTCCCTGGGAAAGAGCCCTGGAGGGAGGRAGGAGGGAGGAGCCCAGGGAGGTGAGCCTCGGGAGCCGCGATGAGTGTGGGGCTCTGGAGTCGCTGCCAGGGCTCTGGGGGTCCTGGCGTCTGGTCTAAGAACGCTCTGGTGGCCTGTCACCTCTCGGATCAATAAAAATGTCAACGTGCATCTCGTGACCCGGCTGCCTCCTTGGCCTGATTTCTGGGCTGGGGAGGATGGGTTGTGTGGGTGGGGAGCCTGCGTCCGGGAGGCCACCCTGCCGCCGGCTCCTGGCTCAGCCTCTGCTGGCCGCAGGGTCAGCACCTACATCAGGTGAGGGAGCACCAGGCAGGCGGCTGGTTCAGCAGGACGCTGGGCACCTGCCCTGCTGAGATGGCTGTTGGCGGAGGGTGGGTCCCCAGGGTGGGTYCCACCTCTTCCTCTCTCCTTGCCTGGGCCACCTCCTCCATCTGTCAGGGATGCTGAAGACAGCTGGGCGGGCTGACCCTGTCAGCAGACGGGGAGATTCCCCACAGGGCTGCCACCCGGGCACAGGGCACCACAAAGCCCCGCCTCAGCAGTTTCATGTCAGGAGCCTGAAAATATCACCCCTCTCAACTTCCACACCTGCTGCTGCCTCTGATGCACCCTTGGGTGCTCGCTCACTCACTAATTTTATTTTAGCTTGGGGCCCATCAGTCATGGGCACTTAAGTCTGAACGAACCCCAGACGTGTTTTTGGAAGCTGGGGAGAGATGAAGGAGTGGACCTGCTTCCAGAGGGAGACATGGGGCTCTGGGCAGCTCCTGTGCCCAAGCACAGTGGGCCAGCACCCTGGGGGAGGCCACCAGGTTCTCTAGCTGTTCCCTGACTGTGCTCAGAGGCAGGTGAGGGAGACCGTCTGGGGCRTCTTTCCAAACTCTTCGTTCTTCTTTCAGAGCTGAGTTGGCCACCAACTTATCATTTTACAGATAAATAAAGTGAGTTGTCACTGGGCCCAGGGGCCCKTGGCTGTCCTGGTAAGAACACCCTTGCAGAAACTGGGATATAGAGGCAACAGCCTGAGGGCCCAGCTGAGATCCTGGACTGATGCAAACATCCCAGTGAGGACTCTGGGCAGCGGTCCTTGTCCCCACCCTGCCTCCRACGGCCAGCAGCACCAGGGAGGAGCACGGAAACCTCTATTCAGCACCTTCAGAGCCTCCGCCAGGCAGGGCGGGTCCCCGCCATTATCTCTGCCAGGATGGTGATTAGCTGCATTTTCTGCAGATGAGGAAACTGAGGCCGCGAGAGAGGAGACCCAAGGCCACTTGACGGGAGCCTGGATCTGGATCTGGAGCAAGATCCCTCTTCCCAGGGCCCTTGCTCCTGCTGTTCCAGGAGCCCCAGTGTCCCTCTGGCCTCGGCTTCCGCATCTGACACACCGGCTTCTTGCTCTGACATTCTGAGCTCCCGTTGGTGGGAGAGGATTTTCATTCTCGTCACTTGTCCCTTTCAGGGGTTTGGGCATCTAATATTAACAACAGTAATAAGATAGCGCCTGGGTCCCCAGAGAGCTCTATCAGCATTGGCCCATTTCAGCCTCATGACAACCATTTCTCAGATGGAAAAAGTGAGGCTTGTCCAAGGTCATCTAGCCCGGAAGCGGCTGAGGCAGGGCTGAAACATTCCTGCCTCAAAACCCAAGCTCTTATGAAAGACGCCGGCACTTCCTCCTCAAGACCTTCAAAATGCTTTGGGAGGCTTGTAAAAGGTCCCCGTGGCGCTGCAGCTGACCTCCTGCCTGGGGCTGCAGGGGACCTGGAGCCGCACTTCCACCAGCTCCCCCCTAAACCTTATTTCTGAAAATGCAGAGAAAGGGGTGCGGGGGTGAGCCAGGGCCAAGAGGGAGACCTCRCATTTCTGCCCGTCCTCCTCCCCTGCCCCCCACAACCCAATGCCCTGGCCGGTACTTGTGGGGACTTGCTCCCCTCTGAGCCAGGAATTAACTCCCAGGTGGAAGCAACAGGTTCATATGCAAATACTGGGTTCCTTCCAGCCAATCGAGAGCGCTTGCCTCTGGAAAGAGGCTGGGCTTCCAGGACCAGAACCAATGAGCATGCACCCTGAGCTGGAAGGGCGGGGCCGGGGACATTTAAACCACATCCCAAAGGGCCTCTGGGRCAGAGCTGGGTTTGGTGGTCTAAGCCCAGTCCAAGGCCAGCATGTCACTGCAGAGGATTGTGCGCGTGTCCCTGGAGCATCCCACCAGTGCCGTGTGCGTGGCCGGTGTGGAGACCGTCATAGACATTTATGGGTAAGACCCGACGGCCAGGGGTTTGTGCGTCCTTGGCTCTGACCCCATAGGTCTTCCTCTCCAGGGGCTGTGAAGAACTTCCTCTAGGCTTCCACCTGGCCTGGCTGTCCACTCCTCAGACTTGGCCTTGGAATAGCAGCCAATAAGGGAAGCTTGCTCAGGTTCCAGCAGGGGACTCCAACTGCAGGAGGCTGAGGCTCAGTAGAAGAGACTGGTAGTGGCTGAGCTGGGTCTGGGGACTTGGAGGCTGCTGGGGACTTGGAGGCTGCCGGGCACTTTCCCCATCCAGAGATCCTGTAGATGGGGCTGGGGGTCTGTCTCAGGCACACGGATAGAAAGAGGCGTGTCCTTGCCAATAACCCCCTAGCTTTTGAGGCTGAGAACGCAGCATGGAACAGTGTTTTAAAGACTGTGTCTACCTCCACGGCACCTGTCGGCTCCAGGCAGTGTTCTGGAGCTGACCAGGCCCTTTGAGTTYAACTCTTGAGCTAAACTCAGCAATTCCACCCTGATGAAGAGCCTGTGGTCTAGGCTCATTGTGAGCATCATCTTGGCTGACAAGCAAAAGCCCAGAGAAGGTGAAACATTTGCTCAAGCCACACAGTAACAAGTGGCAAAGCCAGGGTTTGGAGCCTGTCACAGGCTTGCTCAGCTGTCCTGACACTTGAGGGATTTCAGTTCTGGTTTCCTCCAGCCATTCAACGCCCATTCATTAGGCCCCAACTGCATGCCAGTCTAGCACCTCATGACTTGTGGTTTCTCTCTCCCAGGAAGGAAAGGAGGGTCCGGGTAGGGGTTTAGGAGCTGGGCTCTAGGGAGCACCCAGGAGCCAGCTCCTTAGGCTTCTGAGGAGTCTCGTTTCTGAGGCTGAGCTGGGGACAGGCAGTCAGCATGCCTGTGGTGGGCAGGGTGTGGATCCCTGTGACCGTTTCTGCCTCCCAGCCTCCCCTTAGGCCAGGTTTCTGTCCACCTCGTCCTCATGGGGGGTCCTGTGCCTTGTATGATATTGAGCAGTATCCTTGGCCTCCCTCTGGAGGCCAGTGACACCCCACCTTACTTGTGACAACCAGAATGTCTCCAGATATTAYCAAATGGTCCTAGGGCGTGAAATGACCTGTTGTTTCTTTTCTTTTCTTTGGTACTGGGGATTGAACCCGGGGTGCTTTACCACTGAGCCACATCCCCAGCCATTTTTATTTTTATTTTTTTATTTTGAGGCAGGGTCTCACTAAGTTGTCCAGGCTGGCCTCAAATTTGTGATCCTTCTGCCTCAGCCTCCTGAGTAGCTGGGATTACAGGTGTGACCACCATGCCTGGTTAAAATCACCCACCCTTTGAGAACCAGTGTCCCAGACTTAAGAATTTAAAGATCCAAGTGAATTTAGTGGGAAGCCAAGATGGTCCCAAAGTGTTGGATGKCGAGGGTGAGAAGCCGGTCATGGGGTGGGCAGCTGGCCGCCAGGAGCTAAATCCTGGTTGAGGGGTGGGGGCGTGAGGGTGGGAAGAGGAATCAGTGGCTCCTGGGGCCAGGAGGAAGGTGAGGGGGGCGAGATCCCTSCTGCCCGGCGCCACTGTCTGCCCCAGGGCTGCGTGCCCACGGGGGTGACTCACTGCCCCAGCTGCCGTGTGCCCGTCGGGCAGAGGTGTCTTCAATTTGACCTGTGCCAGGAAACCTGGAGGAGGCAGAGGCCACTGGTCTTGGGGCAGCCTGAGCGAGATGGGCCRTGCTGAGGAGTCACAGAGAGCCGTGTGGGGGACAGCCACCGGGTGGGGGTGGGCAGAGACTCCAGGTCTTCAAACTGCGATCCTTAAATTGCAGTGCCCCGCCCACCCGGGGACGGTGGAGCTTCTGGTTGGCTCTCTCCCACGTCCATCAGTGTTTCCTTGGGGGCTGGTGCMTGCCAGGGGCTGGGGACCCCGCAGGCTCAGCCACCGGCTTCCGCTGGCCCTGGGGGTTCTGGGAGGCTGACCGGCTTCCTGCAGGGGCYGCAGAGAGGACTCCTGTCTTGGAAGGGGAGCCACCGGGGTAGCTCTGAGGGTTTGACGGGCCTGGGRGCTCAGCCTGGGCACTCTTGGGGGGGAAGGGCGTGAGGTGTGGTGACTCAGCCCTGGTCYGAGACATCCCTGCTGTCTGGTCTTGGAAAGGTCCTTTGTCCCCGCAGAGCCTCTGCGTTCCATAATCAGCGTGGAGACGGAGGCCGAGCGCTTCACACACTCCAGCAAGTTCTCAGGCCGCCCATGAAGGGAGGCTTAACAGCTCCTTCCAGTCGCCCGAGGGGTGAGCGGGCCCCAGGCCCAGTCGTGGCGCAGGCTCYGTGTTCTACCCTCTCAGGGCCACCCACGGGTGGCATGATCGTCACCCCCTTCTTATGATGAGGGAACGGGTCACGGAGCCAGTGAGTGGCAGAGCCAGGAGGGGACCCAGCGGTTTGGCCTTTACTACATAGAGCGGGCAGGAAGGCTGAGTGGGGAGTGGTTAGTGCCCAACCTCTGGGGGACACTGACTGAGGTGACTGTCGCACTATCACTACATTGTCATGGTTTCAGGGCTCTGTCCTGAGCCTGGGTGCGGCACCAGGTGGCTCTGGAACAGCACTGAGCCGCATGGGGGAAGGAGGAATGGAGAAAAGAGGCTGGGCAGTCAGGGAGGGCTTCTTGGAAGAGGAGCCTTGAAGGACGGGCACTGGGCCTCGCTGTCCCCCATGCACCCTGTCCTCCGCCTCCCCAGGAGTTGCAGCTGGCTCAGGCCTGGCTCCTGAGCAGTGAGTCCTGGGACCTGGAAAGGGAGGGGAGAAAACGCAGCCTGCRCCCTCACTGGGCGGCCGGCTCACCCCTCAGGGCAACTGGAAGGAGACATCCAGGCTCCCTTTCACAGATGCAGGGAGGCAGCTCAGAGGGACAGTGGCCCAACCCGTCCTACCCTGCGAGGCACAGCCRGGGCTTCCGCCCAGCTCTCAAGGGCCGAAGCCAGCTGGCCGCTCTTCTCCTGGCACTTTCTCAAGGCTGCAGCTTCGGGTTGAGACGGGGTCCTCAGACTCGAGTCCTGGAGGGGGAGGGGTCTCACCAGCAACATCGAAATCCCAGGAGACTCAGTGGAGTCGCCCCAGCGCCCAGAGCCACTCGGGTGGTCGGTGGCTGGACGCATTCCCACCGGGCACTCCTGGAGCACAGGAAGTGCTTCTTGGAGTCTGTCCGGTTGCCGCTGCTCGCGGGGCTGAAGGGCCCTGGAGCTGGTCACCTTCGGGATCTTTCTTGGAGAGCAGTTGGTCCTCGGGCTGGTCTGRGGGGCCTCTGGGGTCCCAGGCACCCTTCGTTTTCTGGATGGAGAAACTGAGGCCAGAGCAGGAAGGGACTGAGAGTAAGTTAGGGGCAGAGGTGAAGCTCAAAGCCACGTCGCCCAACCAAMTGGCTCAGAATATTGGTGACAGGGAAACTGAGTCACAGAGGTGCAGAGACTCACCTGGGGGACCTGGGGGGCTTGGGGACCCTCCGTACCTGGCTCCGAGGGCCCTGGAGCCCCGGGTGTTCTCAGAGACCCCAAGCTGTCGGGTCCAACCTGCAGGGCTGCAGAGGGCCYGGCACACACAGCAGTCCCGGGGCTACCAGATGTCCCTGAACTCCTTCAGGATGCCAGCCCARAGGCTGACAAGAAGGGCAACCTGACCTGGGGGTATACACCTTGCTCACCTTGGAAAGACCCCAAGAAGCAGCACTAAGAAAAGCCAGAAGGCAGGGAGTCCCCCATTGAGCCACATCTCGTGGGTCCTGAGCAGGAAGTAGGCTGCCGCCTTTGGGGGGAGGACCCCTCCTCCATTAGCAGGTGTCTCCTGGGGACCAGGCCCGTCAGCCTCCTCTTCTCCAGCAGAGTTGCTCCACCCTGGCTGTGTGTTCAAATCACCGGGGACCTTAAAAACAAACTGCTGGGCTGGATGCAGGGGCGCGCACCTGTGATCCCRGTSTCAAGAGCCTGAGTCAGGGGRACTGCAAGTTCAAGGGCAGCCCGGGCACCTCAGTGGGGTCCTGTCTCAAAATAAGAAATGAGGACCATGATGGTAAAGGATGGTGGTTGTAGCTCAGGGTAAAGCGCCCTGAGCTACCAGGAAAAAAAAAAAACAACGTTGCTGGGCCTGTGGCGGGGCCCATGGCGGGGCACCTGCTTCCTCGAGAGGCCCTGGTTCCCCTGTGCATGGGAAAGCCCGGCTCCCTCCCGCCAGGGGCCCAGCATCGAAGGCTCTTCTCAGCCCTCATTAGGGATGAGTGTGCRGCCAGGGTTGAGAACCACCACCCTCACTGGGAAGCACCCTCAGCTCCTGTCACCTAAAACGTGCCTAATGGAACTGAGAGGGGAGTAAGGACCTGGGACTCGGTGACAGGAGGAACAACATCTGGCGAGCAGGAAGGTACCGCGGGACTTTATGTGGGCTTCAGCGGAGGGGGCAGCMCTGATCCAGGGCCAGGCTGGCCCTGCACCAAGGGAGAGGGGGCTTTGACTGACCTGCTGAGGCGGGCTAGGGTCTGGTCCCTGGTCAGCGACATGGTTCCAGAAGGGATTCTTCTTGCACCAGATGGCCAAGGTCACTGTCCGCCTGTACCCTTGAGGCTGACACCACCATCCTGTGCCCACATCCTGGCCTCTGGCTCCATCCAGGTCCCAGGACAGGCCTGAGGGTTCGGGGGCTCAGGCTGCTGTGGCTGCTGGAGGAGCTCAGGGACAGACACCAGCCCCAGGGGGCGGTGACACAGTGCCTGCAGAACCCAGTGGAATCTGACCCCAAAGTGAAGGCAGCCAAGGGACAGATGTCGCATGAAGACAGAGCTCCCCTCCAGGTGCCGTCAGGCAGCTGCGGACCCCAGTGAAGACTCCGATTTTTGGCAAAAATAGCCTTCAGGTCCCCGAGGAGTAACCTAGACAACGGTTAGTGTCGTAACCCACGCGTCAGAGGTGTGACATTGGAAACTAACGACCTGCTGCCCAGCTGTGTGGCTTCCAGTATTAGCGACTCAGTCGGCAAGAACAGGCGAAGCCGAGGGTTTATTTAGGCTTTCTCTGGTGACAGTCTCATCTGGTGCAAAAATTCGGCTTCTCGAGCTTCCTCGGGGTCTCATGACGGGCCTGCGGAACACAGCGCAGGGTAGAGAAGCGYGTACCCTGCCGCCACGCCCCCTGCGCCCCGCGGTGTACCGCACTGTCCCCGCCTCTGTCCCTCCGMAGTGGTCCTTGATGGTCTCAGACCAGAAGCCCTGAGATTGGGTCCCAGTTCTGTCCGCTCGGCTGCGTCATCTTGCATGACTTCCTGCGGCTCCCTGGGCCTCCGTTTCCCGGGGCACCTGAAGGGTTGGCATTGAGCAGGGGGTTCTGCGCTCTGCTCTCGGGGGCCTCTGAGCCCCATCCTGGACCTGACAGGCTCTGTCCACTCTGGACGTTTGAGGCAAGAGCACTGATCTGGAGCTGGGCCCTGAGCAGGCGCGTCTTCCACCTTCTCAACTGCTCGGGCCGTGGGAGAAGTCCTGGTGTGGCCACCATTTCCCAGGGCAGAGTGGGGCAGGGTGCAGGGCATGGGATCAGGAGGACAGAGGTTTCCTGGACCTGGTTCTGCTGTGAGGCTGGCCTGGGGAGGGGACCTGGGACCCTTGCTGACTGGGGAGAGATGCAGAGCCCACTGGAATCTGCCATCCTGCGGGCGGGGGATCTTACTTGACATCTTGTCCATCTTTTTCTGTTCAACCACAGGGACTTTCCCCTGAGTTTCCCAGCTCCTGAAGTGTTTGGTTTTGTTCTAGAAGCTGAGGYCCTGAGCCCATGAAGGGAGAGGACGGGTTTGGGTTTGTGGTGACCATAGAGCTGGCTGACTCTATGGCTCTGTCACTTATCCACTGTGTGGCTTTGAGCAAATCACCTGCCATCTCTGAGCCTCAGTTTCCTCATCTGCAAAGTGGGGATGATAGTGCACACRCCATGCAGCTGTGGGAGCTCCCTGCACCCACTGTCACCTCATGGTTGTCACAGGGAAAGGGAGAGATAGGAAGAGCTGGTGGTCGCTTCAGGAGGGTGGCCTTGTGCTGAGCTGCCTGAATCTGCCCTGGGGGACCAAGGTCCAGCCTATCTGGGGCAGTGCACCCTGAGCCCCGTGCTCCCTCAGCAAGCATCGGAACGGTGTCCAGTGACAGCCTGGCTTCGAGCCACCTGCAGCCCTGCTGCTGCTGCCGCCACCAATCTGCTTTTCCCTAAGGTGGGTCAGAGGTCAACCACCTTTAGGGGGACCCGCTCTGCCGGCTTGTTGGGGCCTGGCACATTGTAGCCCTGGTTCAGCATCCGTGACACAACAGGGCTGCTGGTGGCCTGCTGCCTTCACCATCCTCAGGGCTGGACGGGCTTTGGATGATCCTCGGCTGGACGGCCTCGGCTGGGCCAGGAGCACTGTCTACGGCAGGACTCGGCCACACGTGGCAGCTCAGGCCTGGCCTGAGGGAGAACTGTGTCCAGGGAGGCTTGCAGGCTTCCCTTGTCCTCCAGGATGGGAAATCCAGCTCCTCCTGTACCTGACGTGGGGTCCCCTCCTGGCAGCCACCACGTGACGGTTCCAATGCACAGCGTCCAGGATGGGGCGTGAGCTCAGGGCCGGGCCTCTGGAAGGTGCCTTCTGGTCACTTCTGGGCTTCAGATTCCCTGGCAGTGAAATGAGGCCATGACCTTCACTCATCCAAGGTGCTTTTTGCACCCGGGRCTCCTTCCATCTCCCCAGCGCCCCAAGCCCACCAGAGACACAGGCACTGAGCCAGGCTGTCCACCTGAGTCCCCCAGGGCTGGGGTCCAAACCCAGACTGCCTCCCCCAGGGTCGGGCTCAGCTTCCTCGCCTGACCAAGAACCATCGCTGGCTCCCCGTTACATAGGGATGAAGCAGAGACCAACCCGTCGCAGCCYGAGTCTGTCTGCCCCTGACCTGAGGCTGCAGGACGGAGACCTCGGGACCTCCGAGCGGGCTCCTCTACCAGCCTTTCCCGGTGCCCAGCCTCGCCCCTCCTTCCGTCCACCTGTTTCCTGCGCCCTGCTTACTCTCATTGTGACKTCCCCGCCCGGGAGGGTGGTTCTGAGCCTTTCCTGACAATTGTCACACTTGAGCCTGGCCAAGTGGGAGTCACTTGGGAGTCCCCTGGGAGCCAGCCTGGTCGGGAGCCGCCGCCTCCTCTCTTCTGGGCCCCTCCTTTCCCCAGCCTCAGAGGCAGCCTGTTCGCCTCCTGYGTGATGTTGTAGGCCCTCTTGGGCCACTGTCCTGGGGCCCCTCCCGGGAAGGGATGCCTCCAGCTTCACTGGGATCTGGGGATCCTTCGCCTCCCAGGGGACAGCCCAGGAAGGTGTTGGGAAGCTGGGCTGAAGTACCCCAGACCCGGGGGCCTGGGCATTGGGGGCTTTTCAGACTGACAAGGTACTAAGCCCTAGCTCATGGGCCCCCGGCCCCAGGGACAGCTTGGGGTCAGGAGTTCCATAAAAAAGCTGAGTCCCCGGGATGCTGACATGTTCCTGGGTCTGTCTCCCCGTCTGTCTTCCTGACTCTGTCTCTGACTCTCCAWCTCCAATAGTATTTTTTTTTTTTTTTTTTTTTTTGCAGCACTGGGGAAGGAACCCAGGGCCTCTTGTGTGCTGGGCAAACGCTGTCCCCTGTGCCTCACTCCATGCCTTTTTGTCCCCATCTCTCTGTGACTCCAAAC